CAATAAAACTGAAAAGAGTAATGACAATAATAATAATAATAGTAATATATATAAATATACAAATCAGTCATACACAGTGCAACTGTTCACCACCCTATGACCAAAGCTCAGCCCATTCCCAGCTAACCATCCCAGAGCAGGGAGAGTCCCAAAACTGCAATCCTGGAAAGGAGATAAGAGCCTGAGCATCCGAGACACCAAGAGCTGACCAAGAGAGTGAGACGATGTTGAGAGAGGGATGAATGAGAGAAAGAGCAAAAGCCAACTTCCAGACAGACCCTCATCTATATACTGGGCATGATGTGTATGATATGGAATATACCAGTGGCCAATTTCGGTCTCAATCCTAAACCTAAGGTTGAATCCTAGGCTAGTAATTGCGGCTGTGCTTCCTCCCAGCTTCTCCTGCACCTGCAGACCCTGGCACAGCATGAGACACTGAAAAGTCCTTGGCTGTCCTGGCAACAACTACAAACATCAATATGTTATCAGCCGTCTAGTCATCACAAATCCAAAACACAGCCTCACACTAACTACTACGAAGAACGTTAGCTCTGTCCCAGCTGAAACCAGGTCACACAGACCTTTGCTGAATGTGCCTGTCTCCCTAAGCACAATGCACTGGGTAAGCCTTAGGTTGCATGTGGTGTCAAAAGGACCTGCCTTAACAATAAGGTCTTCTGTTAATAACTGTACATTTGGGATAACCATTCTCCCCAGACTGGTGAGCTAACACATAGTTCTCCTTAGCAAATGATGTTTGGCGCAAGGACATTGGGAATCGGTGAATCTTGAGCCCCTGAATGCTTGTCCTTGCCTAACAGGCAGGAGCGGTCAAGGAGAACGTCTCAGTTTCTCCACTTGCAGATCCTTTTGAGCCCTCTCCTGAGAGACTGAGTCAAGCACGGCAGGGCTTGCCCTTGGATTTAGACATCAGGGAATGCACTCATAAATAATAGATTCAAATGTTAATTAAAAAATCTGCCACTGCCCCCAGCCATGCAGAAAGTGCACTTTGCCTGTAACAAAGAAAATCCATCCATTGCCATAAAAATACGGGGTAATATATTTCATCCATCCTGCCCACTCTGAAAGTCCAACCGCCTTAGCACTGCTTGACATTGTTGAAAAACATATGCAGCAGAATAGCCATAACAATGAAATATTTTAATCTACTCACAGGCTTATAGGGGCATATACTTATCTCAAATAATAGATAACTGCATCTGAAATAAATACTGTGGTACGACTGCAAGCAGGTGTTTTAGTCTTTCGTGCTGACTACTATGTGCCAGGCTATTCCTCTGCATACCAGGGTGGCTCAATGCTGGGGGAGCTGTCTCTTTTTTTAACCAAATAATGAACACTTTTTTTTTACCAATTCCAAGCAGAATATCAAGTTAGGTCTGAAGATATATATATACAAAAGAGCCTGAGAAAGGTTGATTTTATAACAGAATTTTCAATGTTCTTGACAATATGCAATCATTATTAATAACAGCCAGAGTTTTCAGGTGGCTTATTGTTTTCAGCATGTCATAACTGCAAAAAGTGGCATACCAGCCTTAAGAGTTGAGCAGAAATGACTGATCTACTTACCATTTCATTTCGCTTGTTTCATTTCACTTTGTTTCTAGGCTGAGAAAATCTAGGTTGATTGGGCTGAATTGAAGGAGCACAGTCAAAAAGATGAGTGTAAAGGGTTCTTCTGTGCTTAATGAGCTAGAAATATCTCTTTTTTTAAAAAAGCAACTTGGTATATTTTACTTTCTTTATACAGACTAATTGCTTTACTCTGTTGGAATTAAATTATCACATTTGCAGAGCTTAGTATAGTTTGGAAAGACGTATTCTTATTTTCCTGTGAGACAGCCAGTTTTCTAAGGGTTAAATGAGTGAAATGCCTGCTAGTGTGGTAGGAGAACCAGAGCTGCTCTCTGGCCTTGTTAGCACAGAATCTGTCAAAAAGGCAAAATACACTTGACCCTTATCTAACAGGATAAATTTGCTATATCATGCTGCATGCATCTCCATTTATCTTCCTCCATCTCAAAAAAGAAGTGAATACCCTCTGTTGGCGACTTCAGGCTATAAAGGCGCCTAACTTTTGGTACTAAATTTAAATCATGAACCTGTTAAAATGTGTGAACTTCCGCACATACCTACGCAGATCCATTCACACACAAACAAGATGTCTGTCTGCACAGTGTGTACTGTGCGATGGTTTACGTAATGGTGTAGCTGCAATTCTTGGCAACCACAGGGCTGCTGATAGCAGGCAGCATGTGCTCGGCATTGCTCCTCTGCTTGCTGTAAGCACACACAGGTTCAGCTTGTTTGGCCAGTTCCCTAAAAGCCCCCGACACTACTTCACTGGTGCAACACAAAAAGTTCTCCTCCTGGGGCTGCTGCAGCGTTATTTCTGTGGATTATCCGCTCCTACCATTAACACTCCGCCTACAAGCTCAGATCATGGGCCAAGCCCTTCATGTGTTGCACCACACAGAGCTGAGGTCAGGTTTTGCTATTGTGAATGCTTAGGGCAGAGGCTGCAAGAAGGCGTTACACCCTCAATTCCCACTGCCGACTGCATCCCAGCAAGCCTTCGTTACCTCATGGGTATGAAGAAGGCCTTACACCATTGCCCAGAGTGACCAAAGGGGTGTCTGAGGTTGTTCCTGGGAAGTCCAGTAGCACTAAAGGAGAGCTCTGGAGAGTCTACAAGCCCATACCAGCTGCCACCAGGACTTTTGGACTGCTTCAGCCCATGAACAATTCTTCTATATATGAGCCATTTGCAGGAATACATTTGTAAAACTATAATTTTAGACAAAAAAAAAAAAACCAACCTTTTCTTATATATTTAGGATTTGCTATTAAAGCTATTGTGATTATTTTAATGAGGATTCTTTTCTGAGAAATGAGGTCTCTCTTCTGAGAAGCTGAGGAAGAAACAACCTGAAGTTGCTGTCATGATGAAGGCTGTTTAGGGAGTCAGTGGATGCCATCCACTACCTGTCAAACACACACCTACCAATACTGTGGATAATAAGTGCAACCTTCAGGAGATGCCTCAGCAGAGAACTCTCAGCAAACATTTCTGAAGACCAGACTACTCTTCAGAGAGTTTTGATGCAGACTGGCTAATGAATGTTAGGAAGCTTGTCTACAACTCCCGCCTCTTGAACTGAGAGCAGGAACATTGCATTTCCACAGCTGTCAGGACTGCACTTTTCAA